TAAGATAAGAAGTTATTAATATATTACTTTTTACTACACAACTAAAACTGATATACTATTCCTTACTTTGTACAGTTTGTTAATTCTAAGGCTTACGCCTCGCCTTGGGGATGAAAAATGCTTCAATACCTTATGTGCAATTTTAAGCCTTGCATATAAATACAACAAAGATGATTGTCAAGAAGCAAGCACCAAAGCTATATAAGTAAGTGGTGAGCTTTGTATGCATCAAACTGTACAAAGTGTTGCAAATAATAATGCACTGAGGAGCAAGCATCAAACTATGTAAAAAGGAGGGGAAGTCAAAATTCACTGAGAAACAAGTCCCAAAGTTGAGTGAAGGAGAGAAGGTGATGTGGGCAGAGTAAGTACTAAGGCTATGTAAAGAGGGCAAGTGAAAATGGCGGCTTAGAAGCAAGCAACAAAGTTTAGCAAAAAGGTGCAGGGGATATAATAATAAGTATAGGGCATAGACTCGAGTAAAGAAGCACATGCAATAGTGTAGGCTGAGGGGGAACCAAAGTCGTGAAGAGTGGACAAAGAATCTATAACTTCTACATAATTTAGAGGTCAATTAAGGAGTAGGACAAAGCAAATGTCATTATCATCAACATATAAATTGGTGTATGCTAGCACTTTACAACAAAAGACCTTAATAGGATCCCATTCGATAAGAGATGAGCCTCTTTAATAGCCCACCAATTCAAGAAGGATGTTAATGATTGTTAAAATGAGTGAAGTCAAGCATTGACGGAAAAAAAGCTAACCTTGTTCAATCTCAACAAGGGATGGTAGATCCTTGAATAAAGATCCATGCCTAAAGTAGTTTGCAACACTAAATGGTAGTATTATGTTACGACAGTGCCTAGCCTAAGGGCAAATTTGTCTTTTATCACCGAAGGACAATTTAGGCTTTTCTTATTCTTATTATTGGTAGGTATAAATATGTTTGTTATGTCTAGGGTTAAGTTTATACAGGAGATTGGATTGTGAGTCTTAGGTTTAGGTTTTGGGAGAGATTTCCTACCTCTCAAATTGTAGGAATTGGGAGAGATCGACTATCTCTCGAATCAGAGGTGTTTATCTTTGTATTATCATTGAGTTGTCTGAATTATTGAAATAAGAAACTTGTTTGCCTTAATTTCTCAAGAAAAGCATATTGATTTTAAAATTGGATCGTATCAAATTAATACCAGAGTGCTGTTCTGGGAATTTAAAAAGAAAATTTAGGTTATCTACTCGAAATGTGACTCTTGGAATAAGCATCCCAAGCAGAAAGTTCAGATCGGACTGCTGCACAGACGCGAGTATGGGATGGCGGAGAAGGCAAACCATGGAATCGCGACTTAGAGGGACCAGCGGGATCGTGGTTGTCTGCGCGAAACAGACACACCGACTACGCGTTACGATCGCAATCAAAGCTAGCGGGAAAGGCAGAAGCATGGGTAAGCGGCGCATAGAGACCTGAAACTCCAATTCTTCTCTCGCGTCGTCTACTTTATCTCGTCGCGATCAAAGCTAGCAGGGAAGGCAGGGCAAGGTGAGTGGCATACAGAAACCCGAAACTCCCATTATTCTCATCCTCTCGCATCGTCTACATGCACCAGTAGAGATCAAAGCTAGCAGGAAGGCAGTGACAGGGAAGTAGCCTACAGAGACACAAAACTCGGTTTTTTCTCAAGTTCTCACGGCATCCAAGCCTTAAGATGGAATCAGGGCTACATTGACATGTTTTTAGCTATCGTCTTTGCGTGAATCTGCACTTTGGTTCACCGAACAATTGACGGCGGGCATACGTTTTCGTGACATAAACCCGCAAATCAATCGACGGGATTTCAAAGTACAAGTGTTTTCATGCTTTGTGATTAAAAAAAAAAGGAAGTGATAGCAACAAAAAAAGTGAATGATTTAGAGAAAAAATAGAAGAGATCAGACAAATCAAATTTGGGATGGAAGAAAAGTTTGCCATCATAAATGATAGATTTTCTTCCATAAAAACCGAATGAAAAACCGATTTGAGAGCATGGGGAAAATTCGAGAGTTACTAAAAAGAATCATAAGATACAATCCAAAAACCCCCCAACAACTCAATTGACAAATTCTAACCAAAGGTTGACCAGAGAATCTGTTGAAAAATTGAAAGAAAAAGAGATCGAATGTGAGGAATATGATGAAAACATCCACCATCACGAACCACCTCTCAAGGCTTCGATTAGGAGTGGATTAGAGATTTATGATGAAGGTGGTTGGGCCAAAACATAGAGAAGGGATTATGTCAGAGGTTTGGTGAAGCACGAAGAAGGGGGAGAAGTAAGGAGGGGATATAACTACAGTCAAAGGAGTTTTACCCTTGATACATGGGGGGCTAACATTGCAGGAAGAGGAAACTGCGATGGACAAGTTAGAGTTAAGATGTTGAAGATATCGATCTTCGAAAAGAAAAACCCACATGGGTGGGTATACTAAACGGAGCAATACTTCGCAGTGAATGGGTTAGATGGGGAGGAAAAACTCATGGCGCAGGATTGTGTTTGGAGAGAAAGCTTTAGGGTGGTTTCAGTGGAGGGAGGCTAAATACTCAATTCATTATTTGTTGGAACATTTATGAGTCATTCGGGAAAGAGACCTAAACGAGCAATTCTACGCCTTGACTCAAGAGATAATGGTAATGGAATATAAGGAGAGATTTGAACTATTGTCGGGACGACTGTGGGGGATTTCTGAATCAGGACTTGAGGGAAATTTCATGAAAGGCTTAAAGCCCGACATACGAGCAGCACTCCAACCACTAAGAATGTGGGGATTGGCGGAGATGATGAAGCTAGCCCAGATGATGGAATACAAGAACCAGATGAAGAAAATCAACTGGAGCAACACAGATGGAGCGTCGTACAAAACTGCTGCAACCACGATGATGCCAAAATTTCAGACAGTGGAAGTCCAAAGGAGGCTACACGAGACAAATAATGGACCCCGACCGGGAGCAACACTCGAGGGTCTTATAGAGACAGAAATTCAGGAGAAACAAGCCAATGGGTTATTTCTTCAGAGTGATGAGAAATTTACCCCAAGGCACTGTTGCAAGGATCTAAGATTACAAGTTATCATAGTGCAAAACAAGAAAGCAGAGAATGAAGAAATGGAGACAAATGTGGAGAAGGAACACTTATTTTTTCCCACCTTGAGGACAATGTGTCTTTAGGGTGGAAAATATTGTTACGAGAGTGCCTAGCCTAAGGGCAAATTTGTCTTTTGTACACCTTAGGGAAATTTTGTCTTTTCTTATTTTTATTATTGTTGGGTATAAATATGCTTATTATGTATAGGGTAGGGTTAGGTTCATGCAGAAGATTGGATTGTGAGTCTTAGGTTTAGGTTTTGGGAGAGACTTACTACCTCTCAAATTGTAGGAAATGGGAGAGATTGCCTCCCTCTTGAATTGTAGGTGTTTATCTTTGTATTCTCATTGAGTTATTTGAATTATTGAAATGAGAAATATGTTTTCCTTAATTTCTCTGGAAAAGCATGTCGATTTTGAGATCAGATTGTATCATATTATTGGTAGTTGTGGGTAGCATTTTAGTGAGATTAAAGAGCGTGAAAAACTTTATATCTTAATTTTTAAATTTGATCAAGTGTTTTGGAGTTTTTTGTCGAGTTACTAAGGCTAGTATAAAATGAGCTAGTTAGGGTTGGTTTTGGTTGGTAACGGAACAAAAATATTTGTGTATGGTTACCCTAGGATGTGTGGTTATGATCTAAACTAGAGATTTATGTTTAAAGTAGTATATGTGAGTGTCAAGGAGTATATAATAAGAATCAAGTCTAACCTTGCCTAGCTTAGCCAAGAGCTTTATAAGAAATTTTGTAGGGGATGCAAAGTTAAGGTTGGGTATTGGATGGTATTTTAGAATTCCAGGGACAGAATTTTACTTAGACTGTGAGTAGGAATTAAGATGATAGCATATAAATAACTACCTAATCTCACTAAAGATAGGGTAAATTAAAGATATCAAGCTCCAAGCTAAAAAAGAGCAATTCATCATTCATAAAATTTCATTTGAAAGCTTGAAAAATGTTATTACATATCAGCCAGCCCAATTAATATGAATTACATTGATAAAAATTAAAAAAAAAATGAAGAGAAGCTGTGGAGAAAAGGTTAGGTGTCCAAACATAAAGGAATGTGCCAACCATCTTCATAATTTATTTATTTTTTTTTTAAATGACCAAAAAAATACATGACTCAATTTAAAAAGTCAAATCTTCTAGAATCTAAATTTAAAATTTAAATAATAAAGCCTAAACATAAATTATTTATTTTTTATTAGATTCTTGCTATGGGTGTTGATTGGGCACTTTGTTAGGTTCTCTTGTAATCAGACTATTGGATTTATTAATTTGAGAATTTGAATAAATTTTGGCTTTCACTTGGATTCTTATAATTTTGCTTTCAATATATTGATCATATCTTATTATACCGCTTAATTTTTCTTCATACAAAATATAATATATATTTATAAAATAATCATACATTGGTATATATCAATTATGGATTCCCACAAATGACCAAGTGCAAGTGATGATTTGAGATCAATTGAGTTCCTTTCAATATGTCATTCATAAAGAGTAATCCCTTTTAGCACAATACATTAAGAAAATTAATGAGTTTGCCTTACAAAATGTCTGCTCAACGCACTCATAAGCTCAAGCAAGTGGATTTAAAAGCTTATAAAGGAGCAACAAATGAACTTGCTAAGCCTTTTACAGGGAGTGGTATGATGTCAAAATGATCTTACCTTTCACTTAGAGTACTTATAATGGTGACGCAAACAGGTAAGTTGGTACTTTTGGCAAGGTGTAGTTAAAGAGGAATGTATTTCTACAATATTCATGCGAAATAGAAAAATTCCAATTGGATTTAATGAATAAAAAATAATTGAAACACACGTGAAACAGCAATATAATCAATATTTAAGGTTAAATAAATATTTAAAAACCTGTTGACTCAAGCTGATTCCATCAATTGCATCTTTACGATGCCCTGAATTCCTAGAAGAAGCAGCAGCAGCAGTCGCTGCAGCAAATATTGCCTGAGCTTCTTTATGACGTCTCTCTTTCCTCCCTTTTTTCTTTGCTTCTTTAACTTCACAAAGATATTGATTAACAAGTACCATATCCCATCTTTTCCTCCTGAATGCGTCAAGCTCATGAGGAAGACGACTGATCATCCTATAAATCAACTCTTCTGCAAGCGGGAAAAAAAAACATTAGTATCAAAACTCAAAATATATTGGGTGAAAAAATTGTTCACAAATAGTATAAGAAATTAACAACACACGCATATGTGCTCACTGCAACCAAGATAGCAATACAGACAATGCAAAAGATTGAAAATCCAACTAGCTATAATTACCAGATAGCAAAACAAGGAGGCCCAGGAATCCATGACAACAGGCAAACATGGAAGTAATTTAAAGCTTTAGGAAACATTTTCTTTAATTGTAACTATTCCTCGTTCAAATGAATTTTTTTAATAGATATATATATATATATATATATATATATCAGA